ACTAACCGACCTGCCTTTCTAACCATAACTCTCAAACAATTGGTATGCTTGTAAAATTTCCACATTCAGACAATCTTGGACATAACTGGTTGAGACTATTTTCCCCCTATAGAAAATTCGCGTATTTTTATGATAAACTCCATGTTGAATCATGTTGCCATTCTTAAACCCCCGCTCCCCCAACTCAATGTTGAACTTGTATCATGGTATATTACCAAAAGTTGTTTCGGCGTTGTTCACAACATTGTACTGGGGGGGAGGGGGAGACCAAGTTTGTTTTGTCAATGTTCAATAACTTTGTAATATTAGCTGGAGTGCTCTCAAGGGTTTTGTCCAAGATTGTCTGAAACAGACTGAATTTAATTTTGCGTGATAACTCAATTTTTTTAAAATTTACTTGCACGCTGGTAGTCTAAAAGATAGATATACACATTAATACTTGTTTTTCGAGGAATATATATGTTTGTTTGCAAGAAAAGCAAGCATTACAATGCCTATTTCAACTTGTCACATCCTAAAAATATACGCATGAAACGCATGAATTTACTTGTTGTTACATCTAAAATATATAATTTTCTTTTGCCAGAAGCGGACAATATCATGTTACTTGGGCATAAAGGTCCAGACACATGCTTCGGGATTAAATTCAATTATGTAAATATCACGTTCAAGTGTTGCTGTATATAGGTATTTTGAATAGATGACGTCATTTGCTCTATAGTTTCTGAGCCTCAAACTTGCTTTTAAAATTCATAATTTACCTCGAATTTTTTTATATGACGGTTAACCAAGTACAATCTTTATCGTGGTTTAATAAAAGAACGGTAAACCGGCCATTAGAACGGTAAACGGCGACTCCAATTTAAAACAATGACTAGACCTATCATTTACTATAAAATCTTGCTGCTATCCCCGTTTACCGTTGTAATGGCCTGTTTACCGTTCTTTTATCAAACCACGATAAAGATTATACTTGGTTAACCGTCATATAAAAAAATTCGGGTTAAATTGTAAGTTTTAAAAGCAAGTTTCAGGCTCATAAATTATAGAACAAATGACGTCATCTTATAGAAAATACCTATATACAGCAACACTTGAACGTGATATTTACATAACTGAATTAAATCCCAATGCATGTGTCTCGATCTCTATGCCCTAGTAACATGACATTACTCGCTTCTGGCAGTAGAAAACTATATATTTTAGATGAAACAACAAGAAAAATTCATGCGTTTCATGCGTATATTTTAGGATGTGACAAGTTCAAATAGGCATTACATTGACTAGGCGACACATTGTTCCTCGTGGGGCCAGCAGTACAGCCAAACAATCATGGTGTATTCATGGCATCGGGAGACAGTTTTCTCATCCTCTTGTAGGAATGGAGAAAGCACATTTCTGACTAGACAGTTTACTAAATGACCTCGCATTAGCGATTCTTTTATATTTACTTTGCATGGATCCTTTCCATAGAGCAGGTTAGTTGCACATGATATGGCAAAAACACCACAGTCAACTCCATTACTTTGCTGTTGTGATGCCTTGATGTGTATCTTTATGTGATCTAACTCTTCATGAAGCAGGCTTGCAATCTGCTTTTGCACATGGGGGTTAATCTTTTCAATGGTACAGGCTGTCATAATAATTTATCTCGCCCTTTTTGCATCCGATATTGGAAACACATACCCAGTGGATACAACCATCATGAAGAATCTGCACAAATTCTTGCTTTTGAGCAGTAAAAAGAAGTTTTAAACCAATTGTAGTTTCGTCTAGACCTGCTATGGATGGAACTGTTTCATGAAGGATGTTCTGTGCACAATTGATTGACATATCTGTCAGCATTTTATAATTGGAAATAACTGATAACTCTTCTTGATCAATTATTCTCTTTAATCTTTTGGTTATTTGACCCGTGCTAGTTGTCACAGATGTTATTATAACTTCGTCATCCAAAGTTGCCTTTGACACAACTTCCCCTTCATGTGATAAGTTCTCATCAAAAGCCTTTCTGTTCGTATCTGGAGACGAAATATCACTTTGATTTAATTTGGGTATGTCGTCACCTGGCAAGCTTGATATCACAAACTCTGCATTGTCTGATGGCGTGGGGGATTTGAATGATGTCTTACCCCTGAGACTACATGCAGTAGTTTTGACCAATTTCCTTTTTTTTGAACTAGTATCTTTCCGTTTGTGTTCTTGCATCTTCTTCCTCTTTTTACAAACATCCGACTTAGGTTTCTTTGTTTTTCCACTGCTGTTTTCATTCTCAGCATGGAGGGGAACATCCACTCAATAGTGTTTTTGCATCATAGATGCAAATTGGCCAACTCTGCTGGAGTATGTCTTCTTCTTTGGCTTTAATGGTAAGGGCAGGTATGTCGTCGTCTTGCTTTGAGCATTTAATTTGGTGTCTACTGGAGGTTTGACCTGAACATTGTCACACAGGTTGTTTTCCTTCTCATCATCAAAGGTTTGGTGTTTTGACAAGTTATCTAGCAACAGTTTCAAAGTATTTCTTGTCTCAGATAAGGCAGTTGCATTCTCTATGTTATACGTCGTGTCAGTTAGTCATTTCAAAATTTCCCTGCACGTTTTTGCTTCCTTTTGAGTATCCTTCTGTCTTGGAACAAAATATTTTGGCGCTTTTGCCCTTTTTCCAAAATATCATGCTCTAAGTTCGTTTCCACGTTAGAAATGTCATTTAAGACGTTTCTGTTAATTGTGTGGGTTGAGATTGAATTTCCGTCAAGAGAGATGTTGGGATGTTCTGTATATTGACCTGGTAATGAAGTCCATTGCATTTGGGTAGTAATTGAAAACTGCAAAAAAGTGCCGACATGGTAAACCATTGCGACTAAAATCTGGACGGGAGCATCTTGGCATGTTTTTTTCATCACCAAAGCTTAGGTTGTACAAAAGGTTACTTTCGGATTATGATTTGCATTTAAAATTACCAGAACCCTCCGCGACCGTCTCAATGCAGGGAAATCAGCAGCCGATGATATGCGAGCCATACAATAGTTAATGAACGGTCTTGGTTTGTTATGCAAATATTGCGGCATAAATGTGAAGGATTGACTCTCGTGGGCGTGACACTCGGTCACGGTGTTTTCACATTTTGACATCATAAAGTAACTGACCTGAAGTTTTAACGAAACAAATTAATTGTTAAATTTCTACGACTCCTCACTCCTGTTTATTAATCCTGTCATGCGCAATAATGCAATGGCAGAATATGGCGTGTCTCGTGGAAACGTCTTTTAAGCTTAGTTTTCCTACTTGGTTGTGCTGTCGATTAATGAACTAATTACAGTAAAGAATAAATAATATGTGAACTAACATGCACTGTCAAACAGCAACAAGGCATCTTACCTTTCGTATTTGTCAGGTAAGAATTCTTCAACGACAACACCTATCATACCACTAAGGCTGTACTTATTTCGAGCCATCAAGTACTGGTATTTGAAAGATTCGTTCATTCTCTCGACACCATTATTCGTATTAATGCTGACCAAAAATCCATATTAATCCTGTCGGTATGCCCAAACCCATCTCTGAAAAATAACATTTTTGCAATGAAAGACTTTTGTCCTGTCACTAGACGAAATTACGGCAATACTGTAGATAGGGGAGGAAACAATATTTCCCTCGGACGCTGTACTGTGTAACACTAAGAAGTTGTCAAACTTAATGTCACACTACATTTAAGGTATGTAACATAAAACTAATTTAGATAACATACATCAGAGGACTGATCCTAAGATAAATTTACAGATGCCAAAAAAATGGTACTACTAGGTGGATCTGGGGGCATGGTGTGCTACTAGGTGGATCCAGGAGCATAGTGCCCAGAAAATTTTGAAAATCGGTTGTCTCAGATTGGCTAAAAATGTATTTGCCATACCACATTTGTTACATCACTCTATCGTCAAATTAATTTATTCACTATTGCACTATTAAGATGGATGTGCTTTTAATTGCACTTTTGAGGTTATACATGCAGTACAGGTAACATTCTTTCTATTGGGTAGAATTTTAACTCCGAATTTCTCCCTTTGTCTAAATTTCTACAATTATCTAATTTATTTTCGTTATGGTCCGATAATTTTTCCACCCCAGGCAATAGAGACAGTCTTACAAGGTAAACATATATACTGCAGCTTGTTACCAAACTAATAAATTGTTATAAAATATGTATAGACTATAGTTGATTACGGAACAGTTCCGTTTTTATTTTCTTCACTGTTGTTGAATTTGATTTTGACCTGCTGTTTATCTCGCCAATTGAATAGAAACAATACTAGTCTTACTAGTAACTCAGAAAATAGTACAAATCTCGATGATGGATTACCATATCATTCCATAATCGTAACAACATGGATACTGTAGTCATGCAAAACACTTTCTTTTTATTATCCACTGTGAAAATCACAGTAAACAAATTTTTAGGTCAAATATGCATCGTTTGACAGTGACATGACGTAAGGACTTCTAAGATCAATTGTACTTGCAATTTTGTCTGTAATACTTGTAAGTTTGTGGGACAATCACATTCTTAAACAAATTAATATTGACATTTCAAAACGTTTAATAATTAGCTTGCCTTATCTTCTTCCAGCCATGTATTCGTAAACCACTTTTGAAATTTTAAGTGCGTCAACCATACTTCACTCTGCTGAAGGACTGAGAGATTTTTGTGCTAATCATCTTCTGTATTTGACTTTGCAACAGTTTGCAGCAGTTTTAGAACGTCATCTCTCTTGTGCGTTAAGCCATTATCACCTTTCTTAAGCCATCGCTCCCAGGCTTGTTCACGATGAAAGTCGCATATATAAGTTGTCGTCTCTGAATTAACATTAAGAACAAGACACTTTAAGATTTTATACTGGAGAGTAAACATACTAATTACTATTTACCCACAACAAGAGTAACTCCAAAAATAGGGAATTCGTAATATATATGGAGAATAATACATGGTGCGGCCAAGCACCCATGTATTTTTCGTGTTAACTGAAAAGCGATAATTTTCACATGTGAGATTATCATAAATAATCTCACATGTAATATCACTTTTATCAGTGCTCGAAATCTCTATAAAGCACTATACTTTATATAATAAAACAATTTATTACTAGTTTTGCAACAAGCTGCAGTATGTTTTACCTTGAAAGACTGTCTCTATTGCCATAATTTCCTCTTGACAAAAATCTGTCATAAAAAATGACGGTTTCCACGAAGGATTCAACTGACGAAAGATTTGCAGTGCTTCGGTTATGTCAACAGTAGTTTCATTTTGAATCACAAAACCCCAACAACTGCATAATTGACATTTGTTTTTACCACCAGAAAAAATAAAGGTAAATTATATCTTGTCGTCTTATATGTTGCATCTAGTAATGTCATCTCATTTCCATACCGTCTCTTTTGCCAGGTTGTCTGGTAGGCAAAAAGTAGTTTTTCGAAAACGTTTGCTGTGATGTCGTCTTTTTCATCTTCAGATGTTTTATCGTATGGAGATACGGAACAAGTTCGAAAGAATATGGAGTCATCAGGGCTGTCCTTTTTCCATGTTTCAATTTTTTTCTCCAAATTTTCTTGGTCAATCTTCGAGAGCATATTTTTTACCGTTGCACGATACATGTGGTTCCGTATATCGACATTGTTAGGATAGTATCGTCGGTTTCTTTTTGAAGGGCAAGGTTTGTTGTCTTGAAACAGTTCATGTTTAACAAATTGCTGTAAATGTCTTTTCATTTCACCAACTGTCTTTACTCCTTCCCCAACAAGCGCTTCAATTTTCCTGACAATTCGCTTGTCGATTGGTTGCAAAATACCACCAGCCTAACCAATTCATAAATAGAGGAGATGTGTTAGCATATATCCTCAATTTTTAATACTCCCCCCTCCCCTCAAACAAAGAAACACAAATCTACTAAATAAATTTGTTTACTTAGTACTAGATCCCCTTAAGTTAAGAGTCTATTAAGCCCTTCTCCAAAAAGATAAACTGCAATCATGGGTCTATATGAAATCCATCGAAAATGGACTATTGAATGCATTCAAAGCATGCTTACCTCTCCGGTTGGTCTTCATGTTCATTTTCTTTTGGGAGGTGAATGTATATCCTGCGCTCAAATAGAGGCTTGTCTTTGTCTGCTATGCCCTTCTTAAGTGTCTCTGACATGTCCCTCCGCAGTCGAGCTGTATCGTCTCTTATCTGTAAAGTGAGTAGAAATAAATTAAGTGAACCAGTCTAGTATGGTGGGAAATCAGCATGTGTAAGTTTGTACCTTTAATGCTAGGAAATTTATCACGTCTTGGAGACGAATCCTAGCTGGGCAGTTAAATTTAATTGTGTTCTGTGGCAGAAATCTCCTTTTTTTAAAATGGCAATGATCTTCATTCTGAAATGAACAAAGTGACAAACATACAGTATTATTAACTGGGGATGGGGGTTATTGCTAAGATTTTCTAATGAGCTTTATACATGGGTATTTAAATAATTTGTATTGTATTGTATTGTATTGTATTGTATTGTATTGTATTGTATTGTATTGTATTGTATTGTATTGTATTGTATTTCAAAATCTTTACAGAGGATAAACATTTCAGTAATCTACTGTTATCAATATGTGTCCTCTATTTAACTAAATAGTCCATACTAAATAATCTATAATCTATATTAATAATATATACTATAATTTAATCATTGGTAATAATTTTCTAGCAGTTTCCGAAATATTTTGCTGTCCTTTTCAGCTCGAATTTCGCAAGGCAAGACATTATAAATTCTTGCCGCTGCAAAGCGAAAAGCATGTCTACCAAATTCAAGCTTTACTTTTGGTAGCTTTATCATATTATTTCTGTTTCTCGTATTATGACTATGGTTATTAATTTCAAAATAATTATAGAAGTTACTGCAAATATCTTTTTCCAAGCATTTTCATAAAACATCACACGCTTTCTTTCTTATCAATTTATCTAGATCAGGAAAGTATATTTCTTCACCAATAATTGCTCGTGCTCGGTTTTCAATGGACGTAGCTTTCGTCGCTTCGTCTCAGTTAGAAATAATTTGACCATCTCACTATACGTAATTATTGGTACAATCATCATTTGATATATCTTCGTCGCCACACTTGGTGTCACATAGTTACGGATCCTTGATAATAGTCGTACTCGGATACGTAACCAAGATATTTGTAGGACTGTGTTGTATTTATAAGTTGCCCTTTATATTCAACTCTCAATTGACGAGGTTGTGCAGATAATCTTTTTCCAGTACCAAAAACCATCATTTCTTTCTTTAGATTTATTAACAATTCATTTGCATCAAAATACTCTGCAATTACATCCATATCGCTTGACAGTGTTTTCTCTATCATTTCTATATTTTTTCCAGAGCAATAGATAACAGTATCGTCAGCATACTTTATAATACGTGAGTTTATCCCTATGTCAACAAGATCGTTATAAAACACTAGCAATAACAAGGGTCCCAGCACTGACCCCTGAGGAACTCCAGTAAAGAAAGGTTGGTTTGACGATTTATTGCCTCCAAGTTGAACATATTGTTGTCGTCCGAACAAATAGTCTGTAAACTATGTCAATTCTCTATTTCGAACACCATATGCCTGTAACTTTGCAAGAAGGGCATCCAACCTCGTTCCCAGGCTCTTTGCTCTTGGGAAGCAAAGACCCTGGTTGGAGCTGGTCACGTGACCCATTGAAAATTGATAGCCCAAGAGGGGGATGGAAAAGTCTCATATTACATGTTTCCACTTCCGTACTTCGATTGCAAGGAGTGGCTGTACAATCATTAATTCATCTTCAAGAATCATATATACCTCAAACTACTTGCTAAATTGGTTTCTGTTTGCTTTTAAATTATACAAACATGCTAAAATGCAGATTCTTATAGCAACAGAAAATTCAGGAAATCAAGCAACGAGAACGTATGACTGTACGCTTTGAAATATTTTTATTTTCTCGGGGTTCGCCGGTTCGGGCGTAGTTTTATTTCACGCGTACGTTTCTGTTCTGGCTCTGATATTTATAATATGCTTATAATATGCCAATGAATTGTTCTGATATGACATGGTATAAATTTTGTTAAACAGGTGTCTCGAAAGCGACTGTTTATAGGTCGTAGGATTAGCGCCTTGACACAATTGGACACAAGCCAAATACACATTGAATGTCCATTCTATTGACTTAAACTGTTTATAGACATATTGCTCTGGATTTTTTTTTAAAAGGTTATCATCATTTATATTAAACACCAGGAAGACAAAATATAACGTACAAAATTGTTTGAAATCGACAGTGCACAGCTGACATACGACAATTCAAAACTGCATGAATTTCCTTTTTTGTCTGCACGAGTACCTGTCTGTTGAAGCCAAAATATTGCACAGCATCTCCTATAAATTCTATCGCCATTTACCCTCTCCCCTTAAATGCAAAGGAATGACAGCCGAAAAGGTTTAGCACAGTATTTTTTATTATATCTGGTATAAAGTGTCCTACGTTTTATCAGGGATATACATAATTCATAAACTGTATATGCACACGAAGTCTCGCCGCTTAATATATCAATGAGTTTTACTGTAACAAACCTTTTAAAGTTTCCATTGATAGATAGGTTGTTTGCCTCCAGTATTGTTTGGTAAAACAGACTAAACTTCTACAATGTCGATTACAGTATACGATAAAGATTAAAGTTGATTTAAATATTGATAACTCACAGCAGCATTAATCCATTATACAAGTCTAAAGAAGCTGGATTATTCTTCAATAAAGCCCTCAATGGACAATGCCAATGTCAATGAAAGGTCTAATATTATACATGTTGCAAATTAGTGTATATACAAAATATGAAATAATTTATATAAAGTTCAATACCAGTGTCTGGTGCATATATCGTCCTAGATATTCAAGTTGTACCGCACACACGGAAACGCACGGAGGGCGTCTTGGCGTTTGTTTGATAACAGATAGCTAGCTACACATTTCTTGATCGTTGAGTTTCAGCAATGTAAATGAAATGAATTTTATAGCCAGTCCATAACGGCTCTTAATCCTGTGCTTTTACAGTCAGAATAGCACTATTGTTTACACATGTTGGCGATGTTTGGGAAATCAAAGACAAAGGATCCCGTTATAAAATAAATCTTTTGTTTTGAATATCGGACAGGATACCCTTCAACTATAAAGAACCATATCGTTCGTTTAATACCGTTTGATCGATCAGTCTGTGTAGAAGATATGTATGTTTCTACGGCGATACGTGCTAAACTTCGCAAGCCAGGCGCGTGTGGAGTGTTTTCCTTGCAAGTGAAATATGATCCAGCTTCTCGCTTGAAATGTAACGCAACACTTATTATTGATGACATTCAGTATAGCAGGAAGTCTTGTCATGATCGGTACGAATTTAGAACAGTTCCTTGCACAATCTCTTGTTGCAAATTACATTTTTATCACCCGAAATTATAAGACATAAAGTTGCAATTTTCCAAACGCAACAAACAGACTACTCTACTACCCCTCCCTGAGATCAAATTCAATTTACCCCCAAAATCTGGGGGTTCACGTGACCAGCTCCGACCAGGGTCTTTGCTTCCCAAGAGCAAAGAGCCTGGGAACGAGGTTGGAAGGGCATCGTGGTTAATAGTATCAAAGGCCTTGCTGAGATCTATAAAAATGGCCCCAACAAGGTTCCCCTGATCAACTTCGTTTCTTATGTCATCGATAAATTGAATTGCAGCTAGACTTGTTGATCTCTTCATCCGATACCCGTATTGACAATCAGTTAATAATTTTTCTTCCTCTAAAAACTAAGATATTGCCCATGAACAGCTCTTTCTAATAGTTTTGACAAAACTGGCAACACCGATATAGGTCGAAAGTTCTCAGGAAGTTCACATGATCCAGATTTATATATTGGGATTATCTTTGCCACTTTCCACATAGTTGGTACTGTGGATGTTTCAATCGATAAATTTAGAATATGACACAATGAATATGAAATAAACTTGCGAATATCTTTCAACATGCCTGCCGGCAGCTCATCAACCCCAGTGGACTTGCCTTTTTGAATTTTTTTCAGCTCATTAAGGACAAAACCTGTTGATTGATGCTGTTTCCAACAAGTCATTATGATATGCACTCTTCGCAAACCGCATTTTGTTATTGCAAGCGTTTCGTAATTTCTTATATAAATTCCAATGTTCTACCTTTTTTGTTCTACGCGCTTTTCTTAGCATACAATCTGTAGATGACATTGTTTTTCTGATATCAGAATTAATCCATGGACAAGGTTTTCCTCTTACTTTCTTAACCATTTGAGGCGCATGACGGTCAAAGATAGCTTTAACAGTATCGTTAAAGTACTCTAATGCCTTGTTAATATCGTTCATAGTATATAATGACTGCCAATTGACTCTCCTAAAATCTTCTTTCATTACTTCAGGCTCATAAGCCGAGTAATTACGACATGTTATAACCTTTGGAGTAAATTTGACATTGTTTAATTTACGTATGCAACCAACCATTTCGTGATCACTCAGGTCAACCATAAAAACTCCACTCCTAGACAATACTAATGGTTATTTGTTAGTATAATATCAATTAGCGTTGATGTATCTTTACAAATACGGGTTGCTTGTTTAATAATTTGACTGAAACCATAAAGTCTGATTAATTCTTTAAAATCTTTATCTTCACTCGCTTTGTCGCGTTCCCAATTCGAGCAAACGCAGCAAACTCTGCAGGCGACTCATAGCTTGCTCCCGGTTGTTTGGCATCGTCACGTTCGGAGAGCGGAAGGGTAGCGGCATCTCCCAATTGCCATATTCATTTTTGTGAATCCCTTTCTCCATAATATGAAGGAACTGGCGGTCGTCCCAAGATAGGCCGATTTCATTGTCTTCCGGAGTAGTTCGGTAAACGTCGCTCTTTGTTTTCTCTGAATGGTCCTTGATCTCGTCTTTAACTTCAAAGTAGTTTGGACACGTTACTGTTCGAAATCCTGGGTGGGTTTCGAGGTTGGCGTGGGCACCTTCTTCGTGTTGTACCCTAGGTTCGATGACGAGTGTAGGTGGTGGCAGCTGTACGACTGTACTACGGGATGAGATGTTTACTGGTCCTCCAACTCTGTCAAGACACATTTGACCAGACACCGTCCATCCTAGCGCAAGCTTTTGTGCCCAAGGTGCTTCTTTGGGACCATTTTTGAAAGCCCTGACTTTCAACAACTCTGGGGCTTCTCGGCCAATGAGGATACCGATCTTGGCTTCCTGGTCTAACGGTGGGATTTCTTTACTTACTTCCTCGAGGTGGGGATAGTGCTTTGTCGTGGTTGGAGTGGGAATCTCGGTCTTGTCCTGTGGTACGTGTTCACACTCAACGAGGTTAGGTAACTTAGCGATTCTGCCACACATGGCCTTCACAAATAATCCGGATACTCTCCGACCATACTTTGTCTCTTTAGCACCACTGCATGTCGTAAGAAGGTATTTTTGCTTTGGGCTATCGATATCTAACAAGTCTGCTAGTTCTGGGCTTATCATTGATGCATTTCTTTGATCATCCATTATAGCATACACCCGGTGAGCGTTTTCTGGTCTGTCTTCTGCATACACGTCTACGAGCAGGATCTTACTGCAAGATAGTCCTCCTGATCTCCCCTGACAGACAGAAGTGCATCGCGATTGTAAATCTTCGTTAACTCGCTCCTCGCCATTATTTCTCTCCTCGTTTTTTCGCTTCTCGACCTTATCTTTGTGTAATATTGTTGGATGTCGTTCACTCTTACACTTCCCACATTTCACGTTTTCCTTACATTGCTTCGCTCGATGTTTCCCGACCAGGCATCGGAAACAGAGACCGGCTTTCTTAGTCCAATCAGTTCTTTCTTCCAAAGTCTTTTTACTAAAGGCTTTACACTCACTGAGTTCGTGTCCCTTTCTTTCGTGAAATGAACAGAACCTTTCGTTCTTATTGTCAACACCAAACTCTTTATCATCGTTGATGTCCTCCACTCTTGTTTTGAACACACGATTGTCTTTCGGTCTTTCTCTCTTTGGATATCTGGGTCGTGGATCGTTGGGGTTTAGGTGTTCACTAGCTACCACGTTCGGATGATTTTTCAACCTAGCTTGCTAGCTTCTGAATCATTACCGAGAACTGGTGGAATGTGGGGTAGAGGTCGTTGTTCTCTTCCGCGTACTCGACCACTTCTTTCTCCCATTTGAACCTAAGGAAACTAGGCAGGTTGTCGACAATGGGCTTTATAGCGTTCGGGTAGTCCCGATAAGGTGGTCATTTGGTTGTCGACATCGTCACAGACGTCGGCGAATGCTTGTAACTTTGTCTTGTCTCGAGCGGTGAATTTGGCGGAATCTCTCAGTCTCTGGAGGAGCGCGTCAGTCAAAATGGCAGTGTTCCCAAACCGTCGTTCCAACTCTTTCCATAGTTCGCGTAAGGTGACTGTGGGGTCATCTTGTTGTCTCTTCCTGAAGTGGTTGACCAAATCCTGAGCATTTCCCTTCGTGTAGTTCCGTAGGTAAGCAATCTCCTGAGAAGGGCTTAGATTTGCGTCTTGAGTCATTGCTTGGAACGATCCTTTCCAAGGGTGAAACAAGGTGGCGTTGCCGTCGAACACATCAGGGTGGCATTTCGGTAAATTATGTCTGGCTAGGCTGGCTACTATCTGTTGGTTGGTTTGCGCTATTCCTTCGATACACTGGTTCGCAATGACAACTTCCGGGGGTGTGCTCAGCGGTTTATATATAGGTTTATTTCCTGCAAAGCCTCTAGGGATGAACGACTGGAATTGATCCTTTGCGGCACCATCTCGCTTTTCTTCGGCTGGTGTGTTACTAAGTGGTGGTGGTTCTCCGGTGTGTTCATTGGTGGGTGGGGGAGGTCTGTCACTTTGGTCTTGCTGGGGGTCGTTTGGTTGATGTTGTGCGTTGACCCACGACTGGGTTCGTGATCTAGCATCTTCGACACCTAACTGCTCTGCTAGAATGGAAGTTGTGTCTTCTTCGCGAATAGACTGTTCTATGGCTTTTAGCTTAGCGTCTGCTACTGCCTTTCTTTTCTCTGCCGCTAATATTGCCATGTCCCGTTCATGCTGCGCACGCATTTGTTCCCGATGGAATTCTCGCTCGGCTTCGCGTTGCTTTTTTTCACTTTCTTTTTCAGCCATTAATTGCTCGAATTCAGCTTGCTTCTGGGCTGCAGCAGCCTCGGCCAATGCCCACCTCCAGACGTTACTGGAGGTTGCAGATGTGCGGGACGACTTGGTGCTGCGTGTAAGTTTAGAACTGGTCGAACCTGTTTTGGTGGCAAGGCGTTGACTCTTTTCTTTGTTCATTGTGGTGGAAGCATATTTTAAAGCAGTTTGGGCATATTCTGTTACTTCAGCAATATGGGGACGGGCTTCACCCCACTTGGCTTGTTGTATTGCTTGGTATTTGGTGTAAGCTTGTTGTAATGGTGCAAGGACAGTTTCTATGTCCTTATCCGAAATATTTTTCTCCAATGCGGTCAAGACAGTATCTGATGACATATATAATGATTTTGCTGCTTTATTTAGTTCAGTGCTTTTATTTTGTATTGCGTTGTAAATTGCTTTTTGTGACAAAGTTCGTTGTCGTTTCTCCTCATTAACTGATTCTAAGGTGTCTGAAGTAAACAAATCAATTTCTCCCTCCTGTTCGTAGAAGTCTCCTTAGATTTTTGTTCTTCAGAATCTATAGCTAGTACATTAACACCAGTATCTCCAGACCCCTTGGGGTTCTCTACGGTTGATCGACTGCTATTACAACTCATCTACACAAATTTCTCCACTTGCACTTACTATTTTCGTTGTTAAATACTCTCCAAAGGCGATTAAAACTTTCACTGTCGCGTTCCCAATTGGAGTACCTCGTGGGAAGAGTCGAATAGGAGTTCGTTTAGTGTTCAACCACGCAAGAGACCATAACTTTACACTTTAACTTTTAATAATCGTAGCGAAATGACATACAAATTTACATAAACATATATAGTCCTCAAATGCGCGATAAAACTACATAAAAATAAAGGAAAAATACACGCTATAACACACGAAAGGTTGAAGATTGTTCAATGTCAAACGTCTGACCAAAATTTAACAGGAAAATATAAAATATAGCTTGTCTCTATGAAATCTGATGAAATACAACGTTTGAAAAACGTTATTCCCGTTGCTAAGGCAACCAAACCGCGCGAGTCTTGGGCTCTACCGTTCGTATATCGACGACAATTCCCGACAACCCAACTCACGCCACGTACTTCTCCGAGTCAACGTCACACGCTTTTAGAAAGTTAATGTTGAAATCTCCTAAGATTATGATTTCTTTTGACTCGTTTGCACTTTCTCTAAGTGTATCATTAAAAGTTTCATCAAAATTCGCTGGAAAATAGCTTGAACTCTCCGATGGCCTATAATACACCGCTACTAACCATCTTTTGGAATTTTTAATGAATACTTCAATCCACATGATTTCGACGCTATCATTCTCAAGATCTTGCCTTCTTCTCCACTCAATACATTCCTTAATATATATAGCTACACCCCCACCTCTTCCAACTTTCCGAGTGCTCTTCACCAACATGATATATCCAGGTATTTTGTACAGGTCTTCATTATCATCAAAATGTCCATTAACTATATGCGTTTCCGAAAGCGTTAAAATGTCGATATTCTCATGCCGGTCAAACAATTCTTCTACACTATGAAACTTAGTGAACAATCCGCAAGCCCTCTGAGTTGAATAAAGTCATGTAATTGAGCATTTAACGGTCCTGGACATGCCTCAATATCACCACATATTAACAACAAAGCACATGTACATACTTCTCCTTGTTGATTGATAAACAAAAAACTCACTGCTTCGATTGTAACTCCAAATTGTCGAAATATGTAGTTCTCCTTCACCATTCCTTCATCTTCTTCAAGTATAGTAATACTTATGCCATCTGATTGTATAAGTTGTTTCTTATGAATGCAGAAACTCAAAAGTACTAAAGCAAAAACTTGAAACATAAGCGAAGCACGAGACATGTCCGCCATGTTACGACACATATTATACTAAGAGGCAATAGTACATCAGCTTGATCAGTGGTAAAAAAATGAACAAAATCATCTGGCATTGGCCGAAATACAATGTTTGTGTAACCTTTCTCATCAGTGGGTTAATACAACATAGGATGAAGTGCTGCACATTCAGGGCTGTTGCTAGGACTTTGCCTTGGGGTTGGGGTAAGGTTAGATTTACCTGAATTACGTTTTGACCTGATTTTGCGAGGCGCCACCATCGCAAAATGTTTTGAAAATTTGAAAATTCGGAAATGGCATTTTTAGAGTCTTTCCTACCCAATAAATCAATATTTTAGTATTGCCTAACAGTGAAGATAAGTATTATTACATACAGTTTAATGTTACTACGAAAATTGAGAAAATTTTGGAAATCGGAGTCTCTCGTCTCCAGATCGTCAGAAAGGGTATTTGGCCACGCCCCCCCCCCCCTGCCATGACGTCTCTCAACGTCTTTAAGTTGGTCGATTGTTAGCTCTAATTCTGATTCAGAGCATAGAGTTCGCTTTTTTATGCCCGGAGAATTACCTGAATTTACCTGATAATCTGCTGGAAATCCACCTGAAATAGCTTGTCAGCAATTATCAGGTGGTGTTGCACAACCCTTCCCCCCAACCCCACCCCTGATTGCTATGGCCCTGTGTACATTGATCAAATTATGAGCAAAATTTTTGCTATGGTTTTGTTGCTGCAATGGCTTACTGTACCTATATTATAATCCGGCATACACAGTTAACATACTGCACCTTTTCTTGAGCTAATTTCTTTTTGGATGCCTTTTTCCTATCTGGTCCGTGGCGACAGTCAAATACCTTTGTGGCAATTATGAAGAAGGGACTACCATCAAATGGAATATTATCATCCTTGAAATATACTTTCCTTGATTTGGCAAAAGGGTCTATAATGTTAGAATAAAAATCGTGTAATTTCTGTAATATACTGAAATAGTTTAAGGTAATTAGAGGACAACATAACCAAGCCAACTGAGACTGACTATTGAATTTATTAATTGCATACTGTAAGTCCTCTAAAAGCCCCGCCCTTTTTCATAAAAAAAGTTAGTAAGCCCCCCTTTAGTAAGCCCCCCCCCCCAGAACAAAGATATCCAGATGTGATTATTCAGGATTATCGGCTTCTAGCTTGTTAGGCATGTAAAAAAACCCCAGATCTGCAGCTCCAGAAAATATCAGGTAAAATTCAATTTAAAGTTTTTACCTTTTCAGATAAATTTGTCATTTGGGATGCAATTTGTTTGCGAATTTTCTTCAGAAACTGCCAGAAACGCAGTCCTGGAGCTTCAAAAACATAAGGGGGGAGGAAGGAGCTGGTGAAAACATGTTCAAATTTTGTTGCCCCCCCCCCACCACCAGTGGCTAATATGAATTTTGTTTTAACCACCCTCCCCCCCTGCACACACACACACAATACATACTTTATGTGTGTTCGTATGAAACAAAACCATTTATTGACCTTATACAATAAGACCCTAGGCAATTTTGTGGATGGGAAAAATTTTAAATTTGAGGCCTCTCGGTTACAAAAATATCTGGCCCGCATCTTTTCACCAGCCCCCTCCCCCCTGTAAGTAATGACCAGTGCGTTATTAGTATAAAATCCTATATATATATATATATAAAATCCTTACCTCCTTGTCCAAATGTGTTTTCCGCTTTAAAACAAGATAATGTACTGGTGGTTTTTAATTCATATTCTCTTATCAACTTCATGGCTTGTTCGACAGACGCAACATACCCCAAATACTTATTCGTTGAACCATCATACAACATTTCCCAAGACGACATATCGGGATTATCGCCGGTATTGTTTACTGTCAATAATTCAGTTTCGCCGCCGGTATTCAAACATAGTCGCTTTCCGTAGCCATCAGCTTTCACATCGTGAAAATTAAGACGAATTATATCCAAATTGCAGGTCAGGTTTGCAAGAGATTATTACAGTTTAAAAGTTTAAACAGGTCGTGGTTTATTTAAACATATCAAGTGGTTTAAATTTCGCGCGAAGAGAAGTAAAGTAGCGGGAATGCATCGTCGGAACACCTCGGTTTCCGAGTGATTTCCGATATTTTTACGATCATTGCGGAAGTAAATATGTTATTATGAAAATGCCGTCACGGATTTCACAGATGGAAACTAGTGCTAATCTGGTGGCTGGGTATTGTAATTAAGGACGCAGTTAAAACCGCTCTTTCGCACGGCTTCCTGATATGGAGGCGCAGCCGACTTGAAGGATCTCTTATCTGAGGATATGTTTGATAGCCTCTTGTTAATAGCATCTGGTATGCTGCGTAGTATTGGATCCGGGTGGTTGCTGTTGTGGTTGATATATAGCTGTGTATTTCCGGGTTTCATATATAGCTTGTAAGATGACGACTTGATCTCAGATCGTCATCTTACAAGCCATATATGAAACCCGGAAATACACCGCTATATATCAACCACAACAGCAACCACCCGCCTCCAATACTACGCAGCATACCAGATGCTATTAACAAGAGGCTATCAAACATATCCTCAGATAAGCAATCCTTCGAGTCGGCTGCGCCTCCATATCAGGAAGCCCTGCGAAAGAGCGGTTTTAACTATGTCCTTAATTGCAATCCCCAGCCACCAAAGCCTAAACGTAATAGAAGCAGAAACGCGATATGGTTTAACCCTCCCTACAGCGCCAACGTTGCCACCGACATTGGTCACAAATTTCTGCAGGCTATTGATGAATGCTTCCCACCAAACCATCCCTTACATAAACTGTTCAATAGGAACAACCTTAAGTTAAGCTACAGCTGTATGCCCAACGTGCACAATATCATCACGGCGCACAACAGAACCGTACTCGATCGCAAGCATCCCAAGGCTACTAAAAATCCCGATAGAAAGTGTAATTGCCGTCAGGAAGAATCCTGTTCCCTCCCTGGCAAATGTTTAACCAAAAGCGTTGTGTACCAAGCCACAGTAACGAGAGAAGACAACCAACAGAAAGAAACCTACGAAGCCAATTTAAAGTGAGATACTATACAGCCATACAAGCTCGTTCAGGAACCCGGAACATAAACATTCAACTGAACTGAGTAAATATATTTGGCAGTTGAAACAGTCCAACATAGAATACTCTATTCGCTGGAAAATTTTAAAGAAATGTAAGGCCTACTCAAACAAAACAAAACGTTGTAAATTATGCCTGCACGAAAAGTTCGTTATAATTTACTATTCCAAACTAAGCTCACTGATCTCAAGAAACGAACTGATATCGCCATGTAGGCACAGGAAAACATTCCTGCTCTGTAGTCAGATTACAAATATATATTATGCTTTCCTAATGACGTCAAACATTTGTATATAATAGCTCAAGTTACCTATAGGCTATAACATCATGTGTAAATACGCGATATCACCATTCACCTGATGAGTGTGGCAAGCCTAGTTTGCCATACGAAACAAATTTGTCGTGAATAAATGTTTTAAACGAGGTAACTCAAGTATATATATATATATATATATATATATATATATATATATATATATATATATATATATATATATATATATATATATATATATATATAG